TAATGGGTTCAATGTTAAAAACCTTAAAATTGAACCCATAAGATTTAAATCCTGGATCCGCCTATGTATGCTGATATATTTCTTATCAATTATTTGGTTTGATGTATTAAAACATTGTATAATTTCTAAAAAAATTATTTGCTTACAAAAACACCCTCATAACCAGTCCATCAATTTATCTTTTTAAAAGAAACATATGTTGAGGAATTTTCATATATGAAAAAGGTTTTAAAAAAATTATTTGATTTGTTACCTATATTGTAGTATAGAACTGAATATTTATTTATACAAAAAAATATGTTAAGTATTTATTTACTTACTATGGATATAATTTTATATCCCACTTTCTTGGATTATTTAATACTTACATTAATATAGTATAGCATATTTTAATCAAGCATAATTTTGAAGGATATTTTTAGTCTTTAACTAAGCCAATGCATGCATTAAAACTTATTGCATTGTTAATACCATGGAATCTTATGCATTAGTTATACATATGATAATACCAAATAAACTGTATAACTAATACGTGCATTATTTTAATGCATCCCACCAAAATGACCCCTTAGAGATACGGGTCTGAAAATAAAGGAAGTGAAAAGAAGACCACAACAGGCAATTGCAAATCCAATCAGAAAAAGAAAATAATTTGATTCAATTTTAGTTTTGATCCAAATATTAAATTATCTCCCCCCGTTCATCAATCAGAACTGGAGAAATCATTTACCAACAATATATTTGTTAAGAAAAAACGATTAAAAAATAAAAGGATCTTAGTTTACAACACCATAATTGAAGTAGTTTTAGCAAAACTGATAATTCCCCATTTATATAATCTGATAGAAATCAAGGAATGTATCTGTTACAGTGTATGTACATTAAAATTTACCACTAAATAATAATCAGATCAGTGTATGTAAAAATAAAAGCTTATTGTTTATTCTCTTTTTGTACAAAAGAAATTTCCCAGTTCTTGTCAGTGAAGAGGACAAGTAATTGGACTCATAAAATCTGTTGTTCTCCTTTCTGGTCCTCTTCTATTGTATCTTCCAAATCTATCTGACCTGCAATGAGCAAGGAAAAATCATCATCTTCGTAGAAGTGAAAGACTACATGTATTTATATTTGTACACGATTAGATGTGAATATACCACTACTCCTGATATCGTAGACCACTCAGTGAGGCAAAAATGAGCACTTGGTGAAAATGGTATCAAGGGACGAGCATCGTTTAATCTAACTAAATATGTTGCATTTACAGTTCAAGTTTGATACAGTTATAAAGGATAATATAAATTGCATCAAGCAACTAATGTAAAGATGTTCCTCAAATAAGTTCTAGCCTCTTGTTTGATCACAAATCTGACTATCTAGATCAAAAACCTTTCAGGTAGAGAGGTTATTTTTAACAGCATGCTCGTCGTGGTTTAAATCTCATATGTTGTGCAGATAATGAAAATTGTACAAGTATGCAAGTATAGTTACCATACCGAATAGGGACACTAATGAGGGAGGCTTTGAGTGTCCATTTGAACTCATATCTATACCTGCACAATTAAGATGTGTGTTTGAAATAAGAGACAGATAAATAACACAAAAACCGAGTTGCAGAAAAGTTTTGCATTTATGACAAATAGCATTTAGGATGAGACCAATTTAGACCTGAAAGACCAGGCATGAGACATGTTCAACTCTAATGCCAATATTAGAAGACAATTCAGATTTGCAGGGAGGGGCGGAGGCAATACTGGCGTTGGGTTCCTAATTTACTAACCACTAAGGCACCATCCTTTAATCTTCACTTGTTTCAGTACTCAGTGAATAGATAATTCTCAGCTGACCATTTGTTTCATTACTTTTATACAGGGGTATATCCCTTCTTTCATAATGACCAGCACTGCCTTAGTGTTGGATTTTTAAATAATACGGAAAAGGGTCAAAACTGCCCCTAATCTATTCGCTTAGGTTTAAAAATACCCTTCGTTCACCTATTTTGTAAAAATTTCCCTCACCGTTAAAAAACTGGCACATTCATACCCTTATTTCTGACGGACCTTTGCTGAATAAAATAAAATAAAATTATATATGGCGTGGCAATTGCTTATTGGTCAAGATTAAAAATTTCAGTCTAACCCAGATCTGATCCGTAAATAACCCACCTACGATCCATCTTAGTCGTTCCAACCTGTTAAACCCTTTTTAGCCCCTCAAACACCCGATTCCATACCCGACTCATGATCCAATCGTTATTTAGGTTTTATTTGTCAACATTTCATATTTTTCTTTTTATTAATTTATTATATGGTACCTATCCCTTACCTTGTTCTTCTTCCCCAACTAAATCATTGCCGACCGTTTCCCAACCAAATCACCGCCGACGAACTGTGAAGCTAATTTGCTCACATGATTTCAATTAACTCCAAACAACTATATGGTAGCTCAGCATATATAACTTTGGCAAAAAGATAACTTTATTAAATCATAAAATCTTAAAATGAACCATTAATTTAATTCCAAAGATACCAGATTTCACTCTATGAATATTGATTTAACAAAAAAATGTTAATTTAAAAATTAAATTAAGGTAAAAAATCTGAGTGGGAGAAGGAGATCCGTGGGTATTGAAGGGTGAAGATATGAAAGTTGAAGCCGATGGTGGTCCTCTGCCAGCAATAGTGAGTTATTGTACTTCGGCCATGGAGGAGGATGATTAGAGAAAATGTGGAGCGGGAGGTCCCGCACATGGATGGAAGAGGACAAGTTGAGAGGTGAAGTTAGGGCATCTTAAAAAGCGGGTCATGGATCGGGTATGTATATTTTGGATCATGGAGTGGGCTAATAAGTGGATGTGAGGTGAGGTTTTAATTTTAGCCAATGGAAAATTGACACATATTATGTAATAAAAAAATTTCTTAATCAAAATAAGGCCGTTAGTTTTCTAGGGTATGAGTGGGGCGGAAAGTTGACGTTATGGGCAGTTTTTACAAAATAGGTGGATGAAGGGTAGTTTTAAACTTGAGCGAATAGGTTAGGTGCAGTTTTGACCCTTTTCCGTAAATAATAAATGAATGATCAACTTGCCTTTTCGAAAAGAAAAAAAAAAGGAATAGAAAATTCGGAGTTAGCTACTGACCATGTTAGTGAAAGAGAGAAAATAGATTTAGAAGTTCCAGCATGCTACTACAGGAAGTGCCATTTAAGAGAAAAGATACATCATATTCATTTCAACAATATGCTATTCTGAATCATTCTGTCAAAATGCCACGGCCAATTAAGCAACATATGGTCAGTCTATTTTTTTCTCATTCTAGGCTTTTATATGCATCAATATCAATTATTGATATCCCAAATACCATATGGAGTTTCCTTTCTTATGAAGGGATGTTCATTAGTGTTCCGTGCTTTCCTATGATCTCATTCACCTTCCTCTTAAAAGAGCCCTTTTCCAACAGATCCACAATAATGTCTCACCTCCAGCAAATGTATACTCAATTGTTTTTGCCCAAAGCTAGCTAGCAAGAATTCGAAGGGTGGAGAAGAATACTGCACCAACATGTGCTTCTATATGCTTGATCTTCTTAGGTACAGTTAGAGCCAGGAAAAA